CACGCACACGCACACGCATATACACACGCACGCACACACACACGAACGCCTGCCTGTGGCCCCAGTTTACAGCCAGGCTTCACCGCCAAACACCTGCTGGTCTCCCCACCCCCCGCACGGTCCTCAGGCCTGAGGGAGCGGTGACACCGGGAGACCCTGTCCTGGCCTCAGGGAGCACCCACGCTTGGAGGAAGTAGGACCCGCCCTCCGTCTTTTGTTTATTTAATTGATTTTAGAGAGAGGAAGGAGGAGAGAGAGAGAGAGAGAGAGAGAGAGAGAGAGACATTGATCTGATTGATATGAGAGAAACATCGATTGGTTGCCTCCTGCACGTGCCCAGACCAGGGATCAAACCCGCAGCCCGGGTACGTGCCATGACCAGGAACCGAACCTCTGCCTTTTAGCACGTGGGATGACGCCCAACCAGCTGAGCCACACTGGCCAGGGCCAGCCCTCCCTCTTTACTGACACCCAGAAAACCCAGGCGCCCCAGGAGAGGAGGACGGGGGGACGCAGGGCTTGCTGGGGTGAATGAACGGCCCAAGTCACCGGGCTGGCAGCAGGCGGCCGCCATGCACAGAGCGGGATAGGATGGCAGAGCAGCACTGGGCACCGGCTGCGGGTGCGAGACAAATGGCACAGAGTCCCTGCCCCAGACGCAGCCCCAAGTCCACGAGAGAGGCGACCATCAGCCAGCCAGCCCCAGCCCCGGACTCGGAACCAGCAGCCGGGCCAGAGCACAGGGAAACGGAGTCAGAGGAGAGACGCCACGCTCGCTGCTCCACACACGCCCTGGCCACCGGCACACACGTGCGCAGGACGGACACGACACGGGAAGTGACATGGGGCGCCCGGCGGGGCCCCCGGCTGGTCGCGGGCCAGAGGAAAGGGTGGGCAGGAAACGCCACATCCCCCCGGACAACGGCCCCGAGTCAGCCGGGGCCCAGGATGCCTGGGGGAGGGGCCCAGAGGCCCCCGGGGAAGGAGCCGGGGCTGGCACCTGGGCGCACGCACACCGGCACACCAGGGCACACCCTGCGCCAGGGCACAGGCGCCCTGCCTGGCGGACTGCTCACCATGGTAACGGAGCGGCGCCCTCTGAGCGGCACCACCGCCTGGAGGGTTCTGAGGCCTCCCGGGCCGGGAGGCGGCTCCCACAAAGGCGCAGCCCGGGCCGGCCTGGCCGGGGGGCCGAGAGCAGACCCGCAGGCGCATGCCCCGCCACGCTCCCCCCGTGAGCGAGGGGCCACCGCGTCCGCCTAACTTGGCCCGCCTGGCTCCGCTCGGCTCGATTCCCCGCAGAGCCCCGCAGCTAATGAGCAACGCCCAGCTGCCCTGCAAAGCGCAGTTCACGAGTCTCT